AAAGACGGCTAGCCCTCATTAATCACTCTGACAGTCCTAAAAACACATTTCCCCTTTAATGACTGTATTTGGATAATCAGTGCTTTTTCCTCCTCAGTCAGAGTTTGAGTAACAGACAGCTGGTGTTATTACAGCTATTGGGGAGGGAGTGCTGGGATTAGGGTTGAGGGAGAGCCGTCCACTGGAGGTCCCTGCGAAGGGGGCTGGCGGCAAAGCTGTTGTTATGTAATAATGAGGGCGAGCTTTGTGCTGCCATTGATGGCTCCTGGGCAGCCATGTGCAAGTTCCCCCCAAACCTTGACACCCACCTGCATTATGTGAGCACAAAAGCCTCATGTTGGGTTTTATGAGCCTTGGCAGGTTTCACGGGATGGGGGTGGGGGTAGGGGTGAGGGTGGGGGTGGAGGGGCAGGGGTTCTTTGGTAGTGAGGTAAGAAGATGGGTCGGTGTGGTTTGGCTTTGTTTCTTTTAGGGTGACTTTGGCTTTCAGGAGAAAGTTTGAAACCCAGCACATTCCTCTTTATAAATGATGTAACACATTAATGCACAGCACATTATGAAAATGGTAATTCAAACCCATAGTGCGCCAAATTAAACCATACATTATCAGATGCACTCAACCATCTATTCTACAAAAAGACAGGATGAATGAAATCAAATCAAACAGGAAACTGGAGTGCAGCTTCCCCTACAGAATGATTAATAAAGCCCAGAGCCAAAGGACTATTTTCAGACGAGGGGCATGGTAACTCAGACATACATCAGGAGAGGAGTTAGTTCAGATACTGAGAGACGCATCACAGGCTGCTGCATAGGACCAGGCCGTTATGGCCTGAAGGTGGTGAGGGGTCCCTCACTCCCACTTGGGCCACAGATTTCTTAGGAGGTGGGTTTGTAGGGGGGGTGGGGGCGATTGTGAAATGAAAAACGAACAATCACGAAATCCTTTTTGTGTCAAACCTGTATCTGCGGGTGTGTCTTTCCCGTCTTTCTCCTCCCTTCCTCCCACAGCTGCCCACGAGGCCACAAAAATAACTAAGCAAGAGGTGTGAAAATGTGATCCGGAGCCAGGAACGTCCAGCGTCTCAGGTTCCAGCTCTGTGGCTCCACTTCTGGGGGCTGGGAGAGATGAGGAGGAGGGAGGAAAGGAGGGCTAGGACCAGAAGAAGGTGGAGGTGGTTCTCAAAGAAGAGTTGCTGGATGAATGAATTATGTAAATTAAACGGTGGGGAATATTATCTCTATGCAAACAGCAACTTTGTTTAATGAGAATTCAGCTACTCGCAGTAACAAACTCCTCGCCAGCGAATTAAAACAGCCACATTTGTTGGGAATGCCACCTGTCTCAGGGTGAGAACAGGGACACTCCGGACGACAATGCCTAGCCTTTGTGGTCCCAGTGGAATGTGGGGCAACCTTTCTGGTCTGAGGAGTGCCTAACCTGCATTCTCAAACCTCACTCACTGCCAGCCAAGCAGCCACAGAAAAGCTGTGTCTGCTCTATGGAACGTTTGCTATTGGAGATATCAAGTTTTCTTTCTTATGGAAGGAAGTTCCCCCCAATCTTTGGTGCCAACAAGAGGAGGCAGAGAGGTCTGAGGATCATAAAGTTTAAGGAAGAGAAAGTTTAAGTCAACACCCTGCAGAGAGAGCAATTTCCAGCAATTTTAACAGGAACTTAAAAGATACTGCAGGAGCCGGATGGTGTGGCCCAGTGGTTGAGCATCTACCCATGAACCAGGAGGTCGCAGTTTGATTCCCCTGTCAGGGCACATGCTCTATCCCCAGTAGGGGGTGTGCAGGAGGCAGCCGATCAGTGATTCTCATCATTGATGTTTCAATCTCCCTCTCCCTCTCCCTTCCTCTCTCTGAAGTCAATAAAAACACATTTAAGGACAAAAAAAAAAAAAAAAAAAAAAAAAATTGGCACTGAAGGAAAGAGGGAGGACTTGAGAGAAAAGGAAGGTTGGAAATCACCAACAGCAAACAAAACAGAGAAAAAGAAAAATTAAAGCAAGTCACACACTACGCTTCAGGTCTCTTACAGGTTCAGGCCAACTTGAACTCCGGTTAACAGCGATTTCCCAGGAGGAGTCTGAACTTGTGGGTGGTGACTTCCCCAGCCCAGTCAGCATTTCCCTGATGCCAGCGGACACGCTTAGGTTCTTAGGGTGCCCAGCACCCACAGTTCCTGCAGAAGAAAGCTGAGGTTCTCTTGACTAATGGAGGATTTTCCCCCAAGAAACAAAAATACAGGTGCAACCTCCATGCCCAAACCCCACAAAACATCTTACACCGAGGTTCTGCCAAGTGCAGAGGGGATGACACCCTCACCGAGGCCCGCGCTGCCATTCTCTAACATCCCCCCCACCCCCTCCGCACTTGACCTCGGGCCTACCGATGCTTTAGAAGTACAGTTTGTGGAGCACGAACTGCCCAATACATCTCATTCCTCAGGAAAAGCAAAGCAAAGCAAAGCAAAGCAAAGCAAAACAACACCACAGCAAACAACAGATCTAGAGCTGCCTGGTGCGGACGCGACGCAGAGGAGTGCGGCCAGGACGGGGCGAGGAAGGCCATGGTGAAGTGCATCCAACAGGTGGTGGCCCGTGCTGGAAGCCAGGGGACCGACAGCATGAACCTGCAACCTGCAACCTGCAACCTGCGCGGTGCGGCCTCGGCGGGTGTCCTGGATCGGACCCCGCTCGGACCCCGGGAGCCAGCAAGCCCCAGAGAGGACGCGGCTCAGGCCTCGCCTTCCCCACCGCAGCCGCGCGCATCCTCTCCTCGGGCTGCAGGGATCCCCCGCGCCGTGGGAGGTGCCCCACCCTCCTCCCACCCTCCTGATCAACAGCAGCCCCCTCCCCCCCGCGCCTGCCCGAGGATGAAGTCAGTGTCCAGTCGTGCGAGATCAAGAAAACAGGGACCCAGAGTGACTCCAAGGTCCCGCGTCATCGCCCGGACTTCTCCCGAACCCCGTGGAGGAGTCTCTGGGAGCGCAGATAACGGGGATGAACGACCCGGGCGCTGGCCTTAGGGAGCCTCCCAGCCTTGCGAAGCGCACCCCCGCCAGCAGGTGCGTTTACCCTTTGGCTTCAGGGTAGGCATCCTCAGGAACAAGGAAAACCTCGCCTTTTAGAGTGGGAAGCGCCTACGATGCGCCGTCGGGGCAGGCGCCAGGCGCTGCCTGCCACCAGGTGGCGCCAGAGGCACGCCGTCTTTGCTCACCCGTAGGCCTGGTACCGTATTTGCCTGGCCGGAGCCCTTGGTGCTGGTTCCCTCACACAGCCCCTCTCAGCCCCTCTACCCCGAATCTAGATCCAGAGGAAAATCCACAAGAACACACTTCTCCACCCTATCCCCAGGAAATGTTAAGGCCTTTGAAGTCAGGCTGGGAGGTAAATAACCAAGTGGAGGGGGGGAGGTGGGGAATAAAGGTGGTTTTATGTAATTTGTAATGCGCTGGCAGTTTCCCCACCCCCCCTCCCCCTTTTCTCAAGGAAAGACACTAAATTTGTCCTTGACCAGAAATCTGAGAAGGAAACCGTAAGGTATTTTTAAGCAAGAATAAAAGAAGGCCGTCCGCTTAGGTATCTGGAGGTGGGGTGGTGGGTGAGGCAAGAGAGAAACACACCACGGTGTGAATATAGCCAAGTATTTCATTTATTAACAAAATAAGTCTTACCAAGGGAGAGCTCTATTCATCCCAGAGAGGCCCGGCAGCCTCCCCACAATGCTGCGTAAGAGAAGGGGCGGTGTGGGGAGAAGACCCAGGGCCCAAGTCTTCCATCCCAGTCACTGAGGGAGCCCAAGGAAGTCTCCAACTTTGGGGAATCTGTTGGGACAAGCCTGGGAAGGGGGGAAGGGGGCCATGGCGATCTGCATGCTCCCTTACTGTACAATCTCCCCCACCCACGGAGCTAAAAGGTTGTACTGCCCACTGATAATGCCACTGGTCTGCTTTGGAGGGATCTATCAAGGCTCGCTGACGCCACCCCCCCCCCCCCACCGCCAGGAGAGGGACCAGTAATGGAGGGAAAAACAATGACTATAAAAGCACTTTGCAAAATATAAAAAGCAAAGTTTCATGCCGGCAAGGCCTTCTAGGACTTTTAATTGAATAAGATGAGCCCTATAGGACCACTCCCCTCCCTCCTCCCTACCCAGCGGGCAGTGTTTGGGGTCGGAAGAGTTTGGTAGTAGAAGGGCTCTGTCCAAGGCCACTCAGGTCCCTCTCTCAGGGCTCTCCACACTCAGAGCAAGGTAGGGAAGAAAGGCTCCAGTTTTGGGGGGCCAGGGCAAAGACCGGGGACCCTAGGAGGAGAGGGTCGCAGGAGAAAAGTCACAGAGTAGAGTTCTGGGTCCACAGACGCAAGACCTCCTGCCAGGAAGGCCCCATCCCCGCACCCTCCACATACATTACAAAAAATATCTCCTCTCTGTTACTTGTACAAAGGTAAAAACAGAACCTCAAATGCAAGAAAATGAGGGAATGAAGGGAAAAGGGGGAAATGTTGTTTTAATGGTTAAAGGAGCATGCATGAAACTCCCCAGGAAGGGAGAACAAAACAAAGAGAAGAACCCCGGAACCCCAACTCTCCCCCTCTTCCCCTATGACCAAAAAAAAAAAAAGAAAAAAGAAAAAAAAAAAGAAAAAACAAATTAAAACATATCTAAGAAAAAGAAAAAAAATAAAGGAAGTGGGACGGGGAGAGCATGTAAGTTACTCGTGTGATTAATATTATTTGGGGGGGGGGGGAAACACAGACTTTTTGCATACCATGGACTCGTGTGGGCCGTTAATGCACTTATATTCCCAGCTTGTAAGCTAACATTATAGTAAATAAATACACAGTCCGGTGGGGGGGGGGGGAGGGTCTGGGCGGGGAATCTGGCAGGACAAGCAGTAGTGGAGGTTGCAGCGGCCAGGCCAGGAGGCTGGGGGAGGGTCAGGGAGCTGGGGGTGGGGGTGGGGGGACGTGGGAGAGGAAGAGCTGTAGTTACTGGTATCCGAGCGCCGAGGCGGAGGCTAGTCTCTGTCCGTACAGCGCGTATGGCGAGTAGTAGGGTCCGGCTGTGGGAAGGGACGGCATGGCCAGCCCCCCGGCTGTGGACAAGTGGCTCTTGCCGTAGGGGTGGTACCGGCTTAGCCCCAAAGTGTGTGGACTCCGCAGGGACAGCGACCCGGGGCTGCCGGGGGCGGAGGGCGGGGGGAGGTGCAGGTGGCAGGAGGCGGCGGCGGCCGCAGCGGCTGCAGCGGCGGCGGCGCTGCCCAGGCCCGAGGCCCCGGGGTAGGCGGCGGCGGCCAGAAGTTTCTCGGCGCCGGGCAGGGCCGTGTGAGTCCGCAGGTGGCTCAGCAGCTCCTCCGAGGTGGCGAAGCGCTTGTCGCACGGCCCGCTGGCCGCCACCCAGTTGCAGCTGTGCGGCAGCGGCTCGTTCTGCAGCATGAAGCCGTAGGTGTAGAGGGGGTGGCCCGGCAGCGCGGCCTGGGCGGCGGCGGCGCTGGACGAGAGCGCGGCGGGCTGCAGCGGGTGCCCGGGGTATACCAGCGGGTAGCCGCCCGCCTTCAGGCCGGGCCCCGATGGGTCGTGCGCGCTGCAGGTGGAGCAGCTGGAGCCCCCGCCGCCGCTGAGGTGCGAGGCGCTGTGGTAGCCGCCCAGGCAGTAGGGGTCGCGGCATAATCCCTGCAGGAAGGAGGGCGGGGACGCCCCGGTGAGCGGGCTCGAGCTGGGGGGCTTGCCCGGCGGCAGGCCCAGGCTCCCCGACAGCTGGCCTCCCACGAGGCCCGACTTGCTGGGATCCAGGCCAGGCACGAACTGGGACGGGTAGCCGGCGTAGGCGCCCACGATGGAGCCGTGGTAACCGATGCTGGACGGCGGCAGCGGGAACACCGAGTGGCCGGGTTTGTAGGGCGACACCGGGGCCACGTGGCCGGCCCCGACCAGCGCCGCCGATGGCGGCTCCGACTTGCGCCCAGAGGCCCCTCCGTCGGCGGCACCGCCACCGCCCGGCTCCCCGCCGCTCCCGCGGCTCACGGTCACGGCCTCCGGGCTGGGTTTGGGCTCCAGGTCTTTCCTGTCCAGCTCCCCGCTGCTGCCGCCATTGCCGTTCTTGCAGTCGGAGTGGTGCGGGGAGCCGCCCCGGGAGCCGCCGGGCGACGAGGAAGACGAAGACGCGGAGACGGGCGCTCCGTGCGGGGGGAAGGGCGTGCAGGCGGCGCCGGGCACCCTGAAGCCCGCCTTGTCTCCCGGGGACAGCGAGGAGGACGACGAGGAGGAGGAGGTGGAGGACACGGAGGAGGAGCCGCCGTCTTTGCGGGAGTCGCCGCCGGAGGAGCCCTTGGAGTAGGGCTTGAAGCTGGACTTGTCCTCCGCGGGGGAGTCCCCCAGCTGCTTGAGCACCGCGGACGCCGAGGCGGCGGCGGCGCCCGGGGCGGAGCGGCCGGGGTCCTTCTCCGCCCCCAGCCCGTTGGCCGCCGCCGCCACCGCGTTGAGCTTGGACGAGGGCGGCGGGTCCGGCTTGCCGATCTGCGAGCAGGTCTGGGCCAGCAGCGCCAGCGGGCTCTTCTTGGCGTCCAGCTGCGGGGGACAGCGGCGAGAGGAGGGAGAAGGGGTGAGTGAGGCCACCGGACCGACGGAACCAGCAGGGTAGCAAGTGGGAGCGCCTAGGGAGCCGGTGGGCACGGGCGGGGGTGGGTGTGGGGGAGAGAAGGCCTTGGGGAGAAGTCTGAGCGCGCCCGGTGGGCGGCGCAGCTGGGCAGAGCTGCGCTCTCTCCGCTCGCCGCCCGCGGGTGGGATCCCCGGCCCCACTGGGTCCCAGAGCGCGGGCGCCACCGGCCCCGGGGAATGGGCGGTGGAAAGGGCCCATCAAAGCCCCCCCCCCCCCCTTCAAGGCCCCCGCGGGCGAAAGTGACGTCTCTGTAGTCGGGGCAGTGACTGGCCCCCTGCCCTCTGATCTCCCTCTCTCCTCGAAGTCCAGGGAAAACTTCCTCCTTCAGTTTGGGGAACTTCGCTTGGGACGGGTTTCCGGGCGGAGGAGGCGCGGAAAAACCCCGGAGAAGCGCATTCTCCAGCCTGGGCGGCCGTGGGCGCGCCAAGCAGCCCCCCTCTCCCGGGCGCGCACCGGGGACGTGGGGGGAAGGAAGCCTGGGGATCGCGAGTGCCGGGGCGCTGTGCGCTCTAACCGGATGGGACAAGGGCGGAGTGGGACGGGCGCGATCCGGGATTCTGAGAGCACAGACCCGGGTGGTGGCAGGAAAGACCCAGGAAAGATCATTTCTGGCCTAGAAACTGGGTGCCCGAAAAAGTACAGGACCGAGTGGGAACGCCAAGAGCAAAACCAATCCGAGAGAAAACCCGTAGCTTCCTCCGAAGGGCGAGCATGGAAAGGGGGGAACCTTTCACGGAGAAGCCCGGGAGAACCGCATGGGGGCTCTGATACACCTGCGTTCTCGGTCCCTCTGCACCCGGTCCTCCTAGGGTGGCCGGACCTGAGCGCCGCGCCGAGGACAGGGGTGCAGGGAGCGGGGCCGCGGGCCCGGCGGTGGCGGGCGGCATGGGAACGGCGGCGCAGGGCGGGCGGGGACCCAGGCACTGACCTCAATGGGGCTGACGGGGGTGGAAGACAGCGGCTGCAGGTACTCCGGGTGCAGGAGGTGGCCGGTGTGAGCGCTCAGCATCTTCAGGACCCTGATCGGGAGCCGGTTCGCTTGGCGCAGGGGGTCCGCCGGGGGCAAGAGGGACACCGCCGCCGGCACCGCCGGCCTCTTCCCGCCGCCGCCGCTGCCGCTGCCGCTGCTTTCGGGTGTCCTTGGGTTAGATCCAGCGGGCGAATCGCTCATTTGGAGGAGGCTGCGCCACTGGGGGGGGCAGGGAGGGAGGGGGAGCACCGGGAGGCGAGCTCCCGGGCGGGTGGGCTCGCTCCGCAGCTTGGAGCGCGGTGCAGCGGTCGCCGCGCTTCCACCCCTCCTCCACCGCCGCCGCCGCCGCCGCCGCAGCCGCCAGCCGGGGATGGCAACACAAAAACCTTCGCCTTCCGCGAGCCGCACGTCAAATAGCCGCGATCGGCAGCCACACTTCAAAGGGATCGCCGCGCCCGCCCAATCGCAGCCCTCGCCGGGGCCCCGGGGCGGGGAGAGCGACGGGCGGGGGCCGGCGCCGCCGGTGGGCGGGGAGAGCCTTAAAGGAGCCGCGCCCCTGCGCCTCCGCCGCCGCCGCCTCCGCCTTTACCGGCCGCTGTGCTCCTCCCCTCCCCCCAACCCGGCCGCCCTCGCCCGGGGGTAGGAGGGGTGTTCCGCTGGGGACCAGACTTCTCCGGGATCCCGGGTTCTGCGCTCTGTTCTCCGCCGTCTGTCCTGCGGCTCTTTCTCCTCTTTTCCTGCAAACTGCCGGGGCGGAGGTGCTGGCGGGGCCGGAGATGCTGGCCGGGGCCCTCACCGCTCGGACTGGGCAGGGAGGGAGCGCAAGGCGGAGACTTCCTCCCTGCCCAGTCCGAGCAGCTCCCGAAGGCTGCCCGGGGCCCTGGGGCTCCAGCCCCGTTCCAGCCCAGCTCGGGCGCCGCTCGGGTCCAGTTCTGTTCCCCTGAACTGGCTTCTCCCCCGCCCCGGGTGTGTTCACTCGGAAGCGCCCGAGACTCCGAGGCATCCCTGGTTCTCGGGATGCGACGTCAGCCGTTCCAACAACTTTGAGCCCATCCTGTCGGAAGCCTGCCAGTCTGAGGACTCCCTTCCGGGGGGAGGTGGCTGCGGAGAAGCTGGGGTACCCCGGGCTGTGCGCGCCGCCCGGACGCGCCCGGCGCGCGGTGCCTGCACATTGATGTTTAGGCTCGGCGTTTGAGTGTTTCAGGTTTCTGATCGTGTCCTCCTGTTCAGAGGCGGAAGATTCCCTCCCTGCAGTGCCCCTCACTGCTGTTTTTTGGGGTGGTGGTGGTGATGGTGGTGGATCTGGGATCATCGGAGAGGCCAGCATCCCAGAGGAGGTAGGGAATCTCTCTAAGTGCTGCACGTCGATAAGAACTCTAGAGATGCCCCTCCCCCCCACCCCTCTAATCCTTTTCTTCTCACCGGAGAAAATGTACTACCTTTCCCCAGGGAAATGACGGAATAAAAACTTTGTACTAAAAAATAACAATACACTCCTCTCCCTGTCCCCTTCCCCGCGTCTTTTGGATGGAGTGTGCATTGCCAGCTTCGCACTTGGCAGAGGTTTTACATAGTCATAGTCTGACATTAAAGTTCCCGGTCCGCAGATCATCAGGGGGTGTAGCCAGTCCTCTGTGCGCACGGCCTCTGGGGAGACCGCGTCTCTTTGCTCTCGGCGGCCAGCGGAGGCGCGCTGGTGTCACTGCTTCGCTTCCAGTACCACTTTCTCAGCCCCAATCCATCACTCTGATTGTCAGGCCTGTCACTCGGGGCATATTGCTCCGGGACTAACTGTCCCTAACTCTGCCGCATTGATCTGTGTCTTGAGACAACATGAGAACCCAAGGTAGGTGATTTCAAAAGGGAAGAGAAAGAACTATCACAGGAAAAAAAAAAAATAGCAGCCACGAACCTTTATCATGCTCAGGGAAGAGGACAGCAGGCACCTGCATTTCCAAGGCCATTTCAGTCAAACACTAAATGAAACCTACTCCTGGATCTGTGCTGTTTTTCGGACAGTATGTATAGATACCTCTTAGGAATTCCACGGGCTTTCCCTACCCCAATCTAATCCTGGTAAAGTCAGGTTAGAAGGAATTCCAAGGGGGATGTCTCCCATATTGTGGCAAGAGGAGTACAAGAAGGGGTGGGTGTGATCCCTTTTATTGTGGTGTTCTCTACCCCCATCATCCTGCCTCTTCCCATGCCAGCCTCTGTGCATTCTGACATTGCTGCCAGTGCCAACACCTCAGTTAAAGGTCCACCTTCAGGGCTGTTTGGCCTCTGAGAGAGTGCTGTGCAGAGAGAGACAGAAGACAGCCTCACAGAGTGTAGGTACCTTGGAGGAGGAAGAATTGGGAAGAGCGGAGACCTAGGAGGCAGCAAAAGATGAAAGACTCCTTCTTGACTATTGTTACCAGCTCAGCTGTGAGAGCCAGCCAAGAAATCCTTCCAGGACCCAAGCATATGTGTGCTAAGAGTGATTAATGGGCAATCGGTTGGGAGCAGAAGGGAGTTAGAGAGAGGAAAGGCATTTAGGACTTTGGGAGGAAAAGAGGGACAGGAGGCAGCAGGATGGAGAGAGGAGGAGAAGAATGGAGGAGGAAAGAATAGTTACTCTGTTTGGAGAGGAAACGGGCAGTGAATAAATGAAAGGGAGGGAGAAGGGAAGAGATGAGCACAGGAGGGCCAGGCTGGGGGTGAAGGGCTGGGAATTCGCCTAGGGGAATCAATTGTCCTTAAGAAGAAATGCCATTCCCTCAGTCCACACAGAACTCCCTGGGAACAGTGGGTGCCAGATGGCATGGAGATAGAGACAGGCCTCCTTCCTGGAAGGTGCTAGCAAGGTAGTGGGGACACTCTCTTTTTTTTTTTGGGTGCTGGTGAGGGCATCAGGGCTCCTTTGGCTGAATCCATCTAGTTGCCCGAGGAGAGAAAAAGGACAACCGAACTAAGCCAGACCAGAGGCCTAATTAAAACATGACTAGACAATTATTATAATCAGCATGTGACACCCACTTAGCTGAAATGCTAACTTACACTGAGTTTTAAATAGGGCCCTCGTGGCTTACAGCAAGGGCTGTTTTCAAAGACATGGCTTGTCACTGGGGAGAGAATAAGACAGTATTCAGTTGGGTCAAATTTATTGAAGGCCACTTGTAGGCAGAGAATTGCACTGGGGTTGTGGTTGAAAAGACCATGCAAGACAACGTTGCATGGGGGCAGGGCACATGGCAATGTTCTCCCTTGCCGGAAGTGCAGATGTGTGGTTAAGGGGCCTCCAGGCCTTCCTCAGATTGCCTTGTGCATGAGCAGCACCATTGCCCGGCGCAAAGAAAGTCCCAGGTCAATGAAGGCTGTGACGGGCCACCTGCCTCTGTGGGGCAATTGCTCCAGAGAACAGTCAAGGCAGCAACTGGACCCGGAGGATCTCAGCACTGGCAACCCATGGGCCCGAAGGTCCAACTTGTCCCAGAAGGCCACCAAAATGAGTTCCCTTCCCCCAGCCTCCTGATGTATCTTTAAAAAAAATGCCCCCCCCCAAGCCATCAGGAAAAATCCTTTAAGAAATTCTGCATATTTATAGATTTTTTTTCACTACTTCAATTTACATAAAATTCACCACCCAGGAAAAAAAAATGCCTGAGTCAGGTTGAGAGCGAGAAATGGTAGATTTGTTGTGTGGGGTTAATGTGGAGTTTTCCCATCCTCCCGGAGGCGGAATTGCCTGAACGATAGCCTCTCTCTGCATAACACTCACACCCTAATGGCAACAACATGAAATAATATCTCACTGGGTAACTATTTACATTTTTTTTTTTTTTTTACAAGCTGTAAGAACTCTGAAAAGTCGGTCTCGTAGAGAACTTGGTTTTCCTCCCTGGCGTTTAATATCTTTCAGCGGCTGGCAATTACAGGCTTGGCCAGGAGCCCTGGTATAGCGCAATGCGCTCAGGGTACCGGGAGGCACTTCCTCTGCAGGCCTCACCCCAGGCTCCAGACATAGCCGGGGCAGGAGGGGGCCAGGGGGCAAGAGGAACAATGCAGTGAAAGCAAGAACAGCCAGCCTCACAGTTTCTGTTACGATCTATTACTCTACCTGTGACCTGGCATCTGTCTTTGTTTACTTGTCCATTCTCCCACTGGACTGTGAATGCTTCTGCATTGTCCTCATGCTCTTTGTGTTCTGATGGCCTAGCTGGGTGTTCAATTATCATCATCACAGTAGCTATCACTGAGAGACAAGCATTGGTGCAAGCACTTTGCTCACATTATCTCATTTAGTCCTTCCAGGAGCCTGAGGAGGGAGGTCCTGTGATTACCTCTAATTCACAGAGGTGAAAGTGGAGGTCCCAAGAGGTTTACTAACTTTTCCAAATTCCCAGCCGGTAAGAGGTAGGGCTGGGATGAGAAGCCATGCAGTCTGAATGCCATAAGTGCCCAATGAATGTTGGTGAATGAATAAGAATCTATAATAATCTATATTAATAAAAGTGTAATATGCTAATTAGACCAGATGTCCTGGACATCCTTCTGGTCGACCTTCTGGATGAAGCCGGGGCTGGGGATGCTGGAGGGAAGCTTGGTGGGGGTGGGGGAGGAAGGCCTACTCTTGCACAAATCTTGTGCATTGGGCCTCTAGTTTTACCTATAAAGGGCTATTTATTTCTATCTCAGCTCACCTTATTCCCCAAAATATTCAAGGTGGGTGACTGAGTGATTTTCAACATGTTAACTGTGGAAGCATCGAGTGTCTTTTCCCAAAAACATGTTTGCACTCGTCGTCTCATAACAATTTTGTGAGTTATTTTGGACAGGTGTTTTTATCCCCCTTGACAGATGAAGCACCGGGCTCTGAGAACTTCTGGGGGAGTCTGAAGTCACACAGCTCGTGCTGGCAGAGGGCCGAGAAGAGGCCTTCCCAACTCCCTCCCAGGCTCCCCGGTTCTCCTATCACCAGCCATTGCCCGGGATGGGGAGGTAACGCCTTTTGATAAAAGAGGAGGAATTAACTACTTTTCCTCCCTCTAGAATTTCCTTTGGAGATGTGGTGGGAAGGCATGGACAAAAGGAAATGCAGACTGAAGCTTATCTTCAAGCCCTGGTGTTTGATCCGGGTCCTTGAGTAGGGTGCTTTGAAGAAGTGATTTCATTTATCTCCTATCAGCCCCCAGGAGATAGGCAGGGAGGGGAGAGGGGGA